AGCTCAAAGGAAAGCTTGATGAGCAAAGAAAGTCGAGAACCAAAATTGACAAGAAGAAGGATACATCCCTTGCTTCAACATCATGAAGATTGCTTTTTGGAATATTGGGGGTATGAATTCACCCCTATTCATTCCCCTAAAACAAAATGGGATTCAGGAATTTATCAAGCAACATTGCATTGATATTATGGGTATTTTGGAGACAAAGTTGGTTGATCGAAAATTGAAGAGAATTTTGCAGAATAAATTCAATGGCTTCATGCATGTAAACAATTTTTTGCACTCATAGAGCCGGACGGATCTTGATTTTGTGGAATCCATCCAAAGTGTGTTTGGATGTGATGGAGATTCATCCACAAATCATTCATTGTAAAGCTACTTGTAAGGTAACATCTTATACCTTTCTAGTTAGTTTTGTTTATATATTTCATACTTTGGTTAATCGGCTGCTACTTTGAAATAACATTATGGAATTCAATCCTAAAGTTTCGTTGCCTTGGATGATTCTTGGTGACTACAACAATGTTCTCAAATTTGATGAGAAATGTAATGGAGCGGACGTTACTCCTTATGAAATTAAGGATTTTGCAAATTGTTGCCTTCATGTGGGTCTTACGGATTTGCGCTCCATTGGTTGTTATTACACATGGACTAATAACTTGATTTGGGGCAAAATTGATAGGGCAATGGTCAATGATATTTGCGTGCAAAATAAGGCATATGTTGATGCAAATTTTCTACCTTCCGGATGCCTTTCCGACCACTTCCCTTGCATTGTTTCCGTTCATGACCGTGTTGGGGGCGCTAAAAACCTTTCAAGTTTTTCAACATGTGGACTAAGCATGTGGACTTTCACGATCTTATTCAAACTTGTTGGAATTTTAATGTGCGGGGAACAAAGCAATTTATCCTTTGCAAGAAGATGAGCAAACTAAAGGGAGCTTTGAAGAAGCTCAATATTAAGCACTTTGGGCACATTTCGACTAGGGCAAATGAGGCCAAAAATGAACTGAAGGCTGCCCAATTACAACTACATAATCAGCCCGTTAATGAAAATCTTCAACTTATGGTTGCTAAATTGAGGAAGAAAGCCATTGGTTTATGTGAAGTGGAACGTAGTTTTTATTATTAAAAGGCAAAATGCGTCTTCCTTAAACAAAGAGATAAATGTACAAAGTTCTTTCACTCGGTGGTTAAAAGGAACTCAAGGAGGAATTTTATTGCTACTATACTCAAAGAGGATGGGATGAATACTACATCACAAGATCAAGTTGCTACGGAATTTGTAAAATTTTACACTACTTTGTTGGGAAAAAACTGTCCACCTCGGCCTATTGAGATGGAAATTGTTACAAACGGTCCCTTAGGTTCATTGGAACAAGGTAACTCTTTGATTCAGAACATTTCTTATGAGGAGATCAAATAAGCACTTTTTGATATTGGAGATGATAAGTCTCTCGGGCCAAATGGTTATACTTCTTGTTTTTTCAAGAATGCATGGGGGACTATTGGTGATGATTTTGTTGAGGCTATCATGGAGTTTTTCTCTTCGAGTTCCATCCTCAAACAAATCAACCACACGGTCTTTGCTTTGGTGCCTAGATCTGATCACACACCGCATGTTGGAGATTATAGGCCTATCTCTTGTTGTAATGTTACTTACAAAGTGATTGCTAAAATTCTTGCATCTAAATTGAGACCTATTTTGGGCAATATTGTGGACCATGCGCAAGCCGCTTTTGTGGAAGGTAGGAGTATCACAGAAAACATTCATCTTGCACAAGAACTCATGAGGCAATACAATAGAAAAATGGTTGCTCCGAGATGCCTCCTAAAAATTGATCTTACGAAAGCTTACAATTCGGTAAGTTGGGATTTCTTTAAAGATGTTCTTCAAGGGTTGCACTTCCCTTCGAGATTTGTAAATTGGGTCATGGAATGTGTCTCTTCTCCAACATATTCCGTAGCTTTGAATGGGAGTATGCATGGTTTCTTCAAAGGTGGGAAAGGCCTTCGGCAAGGTGATCCTCTTTCCCCCCTTTTTGTTCATGTTATGTATTGAATATTTCTCGAGGATGCTTAAAGATGCCACGAATGATAGTGACTTCAATTATCACCCCAAATGTGGCCCCCTTAAGATCACTTATTTAGCTTTTGCGGATGATTTGATGCTCTTTGCTAGGGGAGATATTTTGTCGGTGAAAATTCTCATGGATCGTCTTTCCAATTTTGGTTTTGTTTTGGGTTTAAAGTTGAATATCCTTAAATCCAGCTTGTATATAACCAATGTTCACGGTTAAGCACTTGAGGATATCTTTCAATTCACTAATGTCATAAGGGGTAGTATGCCATTTCGGTATTTGGGCATTCCTCTTGCTTCGAAAAAACTTAAAGTAAGTTGTTGTGCTCTACTTCTTGATAAAATTACAACTTATATTAGTGCATGGAATTGCTCTTCATTATCTTATGCGGGCAATGTGGAACTTATTAGAGCGGTTATTCAAGGTGTTGAATGTTATTGGCTTTCTATCTTCCCTATCCCAGCTACAATTATATCAAGGATTGTTAGCCTTTGTTGGAAATTCCTTTGGGGATCTAAGAAATCTTTGGTTGCGTGAAAGGATCTTTGCCTTCCAAAAAATGAAGGGGGCCTTGGATTGAAGGACTTGAAGAGTTGGAATTTAGCGTTACTTACTAAATCTCTTTGGAATATATAACATAAAAAAGACACTCCTTGGATTCGGAAGGGTTCATCAAGTATATCTTAAAGGGACTTGCATTTGGGAAGTTCTACCTAGGAAAGATCACTCCCCACTTCAAAAAATTGTTGGAAATCAGAAATATATTGACACGGAATGTGGCTGCCTCTCAGTTTTTTTTTTCGCGTGGACAGAATGTTCAATTTGGCCAGCTGGGGAGTGTGAACAATCTGCCTTTGTATGTTGGTTCTCCCCCAAGACAGGATGATGCTGTGACACAAAACGATGATTTTTTGAGGAACTTAACTGGAGATAATGTTGTCCGAATTTAGGCAGTACTGGACAGATTACAAAGCTGGTCGACTGGGGTCAAATTTTGCACCAAGTCCGCCTACAACTTCTTCAAGCCGAGAGGATCAAATAAGGTTTGGGCAGCCGATGTTGGGAGCTCTTGCATTACTCCGAAGCACTCCTTTGTGCTTTGGTTAGGGGTCCTATCTAAACTCCTAACTAAAGACAAACTGTATTACTTGGACATGACCAGAATTGTGCTCTTTGTGGGCAAAAGGCTGAGACGAGCTGTCACCTCTTCTTTGAATGTTCTTTCTCTTCGACCGTATGGTGGAATATTAGACATTGGCTTGGCATCAAAAGATCTATGTCAACAATTGCTAGCTCTCTTAAGTGGATTAAAAAAGAGGCTCTAAGGCTAACAGGATTGCTCTTGCGAGCACCGTCTACTACCTTTGGTTAACACGTAATAGGAAGATTTTTTAAGACCTCTCACCTAACGTGGATTGTATTGTGAGACGGATCAAGACACACGTATACAAAGTTATGTTCTCCTTGTATCCGGATGTCTTGACCCATTTCGAATCCTTAGCATTGGGTCTTTGACCTTTTATGTACTTCACTCTTTTTGTTTATTCTGGATATGTCCGGAGTAATTGTATGTGATATTGACTTTTGTTTGCTCGGAAATGTCCGGTGTACTTGTATATGGAACACTTTTTATCAATGATATTTACATTTACCGATAAAAAAAAAATGTTACATTTCATCTAATTTTTTTCGTAATTTGGTTTGATGCAGCTTGTTGGCCTATGGAATGTTTCTTTTCACTCTTGATTGCTTTCATTATTTTTCCCCTTTCTGCATCAATAATATCTTCCAATTTCAGTATGCTTTCATGTGTAGATTAATTATTATTGGGCAACATCTGATTATCTTGCAGTTTGACGTAGTTCCTCAGGACACTGGATCCGTTAGTTCAGCAGGAAAAAAGACACTGGCGGAGGACCCAACGAAGAAAAAGAATCCTGCAGCAGTAAAAATTAGTCCATGGATGTTGGCACGATTGAATGCAGAAGAGGTGTCAAAGGCTGCTGCAGAAGCAAGAAAGAAGTCCAAGATTCTTCGCCCTGTAACTAGACGTGAACCGAACTTTTGAAACTGATGGTAGTTCTGGTAACAATGGTCGCTGGATGGCCCCGAGGCCTGACAACAACGGAAAACGAGGCAGCAAGCAGATTCGCCTTCCTTCAGAGACGCTCCTCCAAACTCTTTCAAACTTTCCAAGCAACAATGCATCAGACTACAGAAATCATCATATGATGGCCGAGACATCAACCCACTTTGCCCCTCTTCGACTTGAACCTCGAAGTGTTTACAGGACAGGCCCAGTAATGTCAGGTGCAGCTGGGACTGTCGCTTCCTCCCCCGAGAGTAGTTTAGATTCCCCAGATATTCACCCTTTCCGAGTTTCCTCGTCAGAAGCCAAAGAGGCAAGTCGACTTGTTGGGCTATCGGCAGCTCATAAGGAAGTACCATCGTCAAGATCAACTAGCGATGGATATGATGCATCAGGTGGGGAAGATAGTGATCAGGTGCCTACAAAAATTGTAGGACAGCCGACTAACTGGAGTGGCCTCCTCTTTGGTTCTGAGTACGACAGGAAGGTTACAAAGTTGATGGCCTCGTCTTCATCTACCTTAACAAACTTAAGGAAGCTTTAAGCAGTGGTGTGTAGTCAATAGATTGATCTTCTAAGCCCATGGTATGCAATCCAGATTCTTGAATTTTTTTCATTTGTTGGCCAGGGTTAAACAGAGTTGCTACTTCCTGCCTTTGGGTAATTGCTCTATTTATCAGCTTTTTCGATTCCACTATTAACTTTTGGTTAAAGAATGTTTGACAATTGGAAAGGTGCCCTACAGAAATACAATTTAGGTTCGCTGCAGCATTGCCGACCGGGAGGAAGTTCAATGGTATACTTGAAAAGACTTGCTGCATTTGTGACTGCTATCCTGTGAATGCTTGTCTATAATATGTATTTTGTTCCTCGTCTCTTATGAAGATTTTGAATTTTCTCTTATAAATTTTGTCTATAATACGTATCTACAACTTCAACATAAACAGTAGCACAAAGAATGGGCAGGAATCATAAGCAGTATGCACTAACCTCAATCTTTGCCATATCAACAGGCAAGATAACATAATCTGCCGAAGACTCATCTGCAATCTCAAATGTCATTTCCCCATGTAAAACCTTGCAATAGCCAATAGATATACAACACTGTGTGGGCAGCGAAGTAGCTGAGCATCATCGTCATAAGAACAGAGCATAGAACTATCTCAATTATAGCTGCAATCCATTCATTCCCTTTAATTAAATAAGCACTCCTCTTCAAGGGCGCAAACCCCCATTTGTATTCCACCACTACCACCACGTGCGCCAATGACCACTCCACTTGCAAGTAAAATGTCGCCACTAGAACCAATATAGGGACACGAACAACTAAAATCAGCAAATAATTTGATCCATAATCGACCTCGACCCCGAGAATTAGAAGCCCTTCATACACTAAAGCCCCCAGAAGCCCAAAAATGATGAAAACAAAAATCAGTATGATCAAGGAAGCTACGACAGTCAAAAGAAGAGGAAAAATGGAAAACAATATGTATCTAATAGAGGAGATGAAGCAGACCGGTCTATTATAGAATCCGTGGAAAGTACTATAGGTAATTGAGGCAGTGGCGAAAATGGAGAAATGGAAGACAAAAATCACGTACAGAAGGATGATAAGGAGATGGATTTTTTGCTGGTAGTGAGCAGTAATGGAGTTGCTATGAGAGATGGGTAGACAATAGAGAGGGCTAAGAAATTGCTGGAGTTGGCACTGATTATTTCCGCAGAGGTTTGTGCTAAGGCCGAGGGTAGCCATCATCATCAATGGATACTGCAGGATGATCACTTGATGAGAAATTGAAACTGGATGTAGAAGACAACCTGCGGGTGAGTCCAAGTTCAAATAATTGTGGGAAATTTAAAGTCAAACGAATAAATATGCTAGAAATTCCTATTACTACGCCACAAATGAAAGATAAGCTTTTTTTTAGTTAATTCACCTGAAGAAGTTATACAGAGGCTGTGCTTAATCAGTAAAGTGGATGCAGTAATGATCTTGGCCACAATGCCTTTTTCTTTAGAGCTTGTGGCCTACGTCTGTTGGTTGCAGTTATATGAACAAAGATCTCGCATTGTTCTATATAATACAGTTTCCCAAATTCAAATATCATGTTAGCAAAGGTAACATAATATTTGAATATCTAGAAAGCGTAATATGCAATTGATATCAAAAGTATGAAACGTTAGCAATTAGTACACATTTGATATACAGTACAAGATATAAAAAATAAAATTTTCAAAATCCTTCCTACCAAACATGCCATTTAATGTTTGGAAAGTTTAATTTCCGAAACCCATCAAAACTTATTCCTAGGTTTTGTTCCTCCAACAAGACTCATTCTTGTTCTCCACTTGCACATGTAGTCAGCGTCTTTTTAGTAATGACACAGAACATGAAGAACGTAGATTTCTCTCTACATAATTGATCAATCACGCAGCATACATGTTATATCTGGAAGTATCCATAATTAATCGGAGAAAACTGCATTGTTACATACAAGTTCTCGGACATTCTAGTTCTCGGTCCGAGAGTCAGAAATTCCAGCAAGCATCAAGGGTGCTGTCAAATAACCCAACGATATAGTTATTGCACTGGTAGCTCAAGTAGTTCTCGTATTCCTTCGTGAACCTGCATACCACCAATGGAAAATGTGCCAAATCTGAGAATAGTTTTGTGCTAAGTCACAGGGAAATTTTTACAATATTCATCAAAGTCAATTTTTGCAGGCATCACGTACTTTCTCAAGTACTAATAATGTCGAATACAAAAATGATTACATAAACTACAACCCTCTCTAATTGTTAGGCATCCATATCTAGATGTGAAGGTTTAACATGGCCCTGCTCTCCTGGAGCATGCATACGTCCTTGATTCAAATCTCATCAGTAGCCGTTGACAAAATATTCCATTTATCGGGCTTGTCATGAAACACGAACAAGTTCCAAGATTTTTACAAGAAATAATGCGGCAGTTAGCTGGATATTTGAAAAGGTAACAAAATACATACCATCTTGATCTGCGCTTTAATAGATGCAATTAATTGAGTATACTCCTCTATTTGCCTGAACAGAGATACAAACATTAGCTGACCATATAATGAAAAACATTAGTTGGTTTAAGTTCTGAACTCAAGCTAAGGAGTTTATGGACACAAATTCTTCATCAAAAAAGAAATGAGAACTTTGTAGAGGAAGACAGAATAAGAATAATGATAGGTAGAGTGCAGTGAGTTTCCATTGGCAATGGCTTACATACCATCCTACAAATCAATTATTTTTTGTCCATGAATTAAGCACTGCTTTGGATATTTTTGGCTAAGCTTACAGGCATTCCTACTCCTCTGCAGTACTAGGCTGTGGCCAAGTGTGAAAATGGGCAAAAGAAATTGATCCTCCCTTTTATTTCATTGAATTAGCTCCAAAAATTTTTCCCCCTTTATGCCCAAGTCAATTCCGAATCTAAATTTCAGCCCACCCCAAAGTCAAGTTCTAGGTCCACCCTGACTAAGCTTAAAAGATAAAAGATAATCTTTCCAAACATGTTGGGATAATTTACTCATTTCTTACATTTAAGTAACAAAAGTCACTTAATTTTAAAGTACTCTAAATATACGTAATATATTTATCTTAAAACTTAGTGAACCTTTTAAGCTTAGCCAAACAAACATGCCATTCTCTGCCCCCAAAAAATAAAAATCAATCAGACACATAAGCACATGTATCCGTGGATTAATTGACCCTAGTCACCTAACAGAGAGCCCAAAAAAAAAAAGGTCATTTATATGATAAATGAATAGATTCCACCACCACGAGTACAAATTGTGTGAAGATTCCCATCACATCAGGGTGTTGAAGTCCTAAATTTAAAGTGAAAATTTTGCCTATTTTCCACCAGTCATGGTAAAGCTTTGTATAAACATGTCCTATTCAGTTTATTCTTCAGTCTTTAAGAATTAGATTTCCAAGAATAGCGAAAACTTTTGGATTAGCCACAAAATAGTTGGTGCCTTCTCCCCGACTTTGATTTTATTCTAACATCAAGACCTATTTTGAGAAGCGCAAGAAAAGAATGTTCTCAACATGATCGATCTAATTATATCTTTTACTGTTCTTGGATTATCATAAAACATTTTGACATTCAAATGAATTTGGCCGAACTTATGGTTCATTGGGGACTAAAATGACCATAAAAGACATAACAATACATCCTCAGTAGAAAGTAGAAACTACAGGAATCTCTAGTAGATCATCAAATGGCACTTGATTAGAATTTTATAGCTCTTAAGGCTTCCAATTTCAATTTACTGCTTGTCCACAAGTCATAAATAACATATTGAATACTTAACTAGACTCTATTATGGCATATCAGTACAGATATAAAGGAGACAATACCTGGCTAATTTTTCTTCTCTTTCAGATATGAAATTTAGAGCTTCTGGCCAGGTAAACTCCACATGAAATCCAAGTCCGACATCCACAAATATATGCCTTGTATCTGGTCTGCAAACACGAAAAACAGGCAATCCAATTTCATAGTCATGTTATGTACAATGAATATAACATTTGACCTACTTTGAAATCTAAAGGTTTCAAGTTTATGAAGACGGGATATATAAACAGCCCTTTTAGTCATAGAAAAAAATAAGGATCAGAATAGAGTGACTAAAGGATTACATTGTCCTAAAGAGGGAGTGTTTTAGGCATTTAGATTCGATGACTAACAATGACAGAGAATTTGAGGAGTGGACAATATGAGATTCTAGAGACGATGAAAAAAGAGGTCCTTGTCATCAACATTTCAATGACTAAGATTGGATCTTCATTTGCTTCAACTTCGATTTTGGTTCCTGTGTCAAATTTCTAGTCTCAGTTCTTTTCATATCAGAGATAGTACCTCCAAGTTTTATTTTTTAATTATGTTCTCTACTTTCTCCTCCTTGTGTACTTACGGAAGTAAGGTAGTATGTTCCCCCCAACTTGTACTCCTTTAGTATGTTTATATATTTGTAGGAAATCATGCCAATACCCCATAATTCCTCATGTGGAAGCCTAAAAACTTTTGCCTCGCGGTGATGGATATCCGTGTTAAAAAAGGGAAAAAATACCATTGTATCTTCATTAGAAGTTTGCGATTGCTCCACAAAAGCTGAAGCTATAAAAAAAACAGCATATCATGACTATCACTATAAACATAAAAATAAGATTATGCATACACATCAGCTTGCATGTAGACTTCAGAACCAAGGTTGACCATTGTCCTCAGACTGGTCACACAATTCTTTTCCAGATTCTCGATGTTCCTTCTCAGATCGGAGCTACAAAGATGCAAGTTAAGCAAAGCAATATAATCAAAGATTCAAAAAATCAGGTCAAACTTTCCTGCTCAAGGAGTTTTTATACTGCTATCTAGTGAACATTTTAATTTGGGTGCAAAAAGCCATAATGAACTAATCTAACAGAATTTTAAGAATCTATATAACCGACAAACAACCAAATGTCAGAAGGATACAAAATCTTTTGTTGTTCAAACACCTTGTCTCTGCAAAATAAATGAAGCAGTTAGGCCATTCAATTTTATTTATTTTTTTGTTTATTTGTCAGCCATGTGAAAATATAAACAGTGTCTTTAATTTCCCATTAGTCTTTAAGATGATCATAACATGACAAAATTCTTATGAACATAAACCATGAAGATTTTAATCTACAATCCTGCCAACCTTCTGAAAGCAGAGGCAAGCGTGAAATAATTCATAAATGAGTTTCAATAAACCAGATACTTCAAGAAACAAATATTATGAAAAATCAAATCTGTACTTATCACAGGACAGATATGAGGAGCAGCTGGAAGGCAACTCAGCAAGCAAACAAATAACTGAAGTAATAAGAGGGGCATACCGTTCAGCAATAGCATGAACAAGGTCGGGTTTCAAGCGCTGATCAATAAATTCCTCAAATCTTCCTACTTTCTCTTGTAGTTCACTATTCATATTATCCCTGGTACATCACAAAAACGGATTACAAACTAAATGCCATACTCCATCATGGTCACCTAGACAATATTTCAAAAACTCAAGTAGTCGCATATTAAATGGAAAAAAGTGATTTTTAATGATCAGCCCTGCTCATTCTTTTAATCCCCTCAAATATGGGTCCTAATTTATATCAATTTAGTCTAATCAAATGCATAAACTAAAATATACATAAGAAGTACATTCTATACAGCATCTTCAGACATGTTAACTTAATGAAATTGAAATATATTGTCTCTTAAAACTCAGGATTATCATCTAGAGATAGCATTTCAATATATTGCAGTTTGCTTCATATCATGCAATGACTCAGATCCACAATAAAATTTAAAGACTGCAACTCCAAATCAAAATCGGCAATGTGTTTTCAAGTGAACAAGACATTTAGAAAGAGAAAAAACTGAAAGGAATTTTTTACATCTCTTAATAGCATATCACAAAGTATAGCATTCAGTGGCGGACACGGACATTTAAAGTTAGTGAGGCACAATCAAACTTATAAAAAGGTTACGAAAAAATTAATGCATTCGATATCTTATTACAATTGTTCTCTCCGCAATACTTCAATAACATTACACAATTACATCATTTTCAATAATGTCGAATACATCATTTTCAATATACGCAATCAAATATTAGCATCATAATTATGTATTGGAACTCTCAATCTCCGGTTCCGAAGGAAGTTGTGCAACATCAAGTTCAAGTCTTTCATCCTTAACATTCTCGACATTAGTTTCAATTTGAACATCTCCAACATCAAGTTCGTCCCTTTCATTCCTAACATTCCGTCATCATTTTTATCCCTAACATCAATTTCATCCTTTTACCTCGAGCAATCCTCTCGTTATATTTTGCTCATCACAAGACAACGTAGATTTACATTTAAAGAATTTTTTCATAACTAATACAAACAATAAAATAAAACAAACTCAGTACAAATAGAATAAAGACAATTATCAAAGTACTAACTGAAGGGAATGTTGAAGCATAAATTACGAACAAAGGACAAGATAACCCCACTACAATAGCATCCACTAAATCCATTTGAACCCATTTAGTGCTCCACTAACAGTGCCCAAGGGCCAAGTAAGCAACTACATATCCCCAATTCAACTCGCTGCCCAACTTTAGTGTTCCATTAATAGCATCTATTTGAGCCCATTTCTCACTATTTACACAAACAGGAAGTAGAATACCGTAACAGAGAGAAGAAAACGGGCAGGAAAGAAGAAAAAAGGGGGGAAAAGGAAGAAAGAAAAGGAGAAAAATAAAGGAACAAAAATTAGGTTCCAACTTCTTCAACTCAATTTCAATATTCAAATTTCAAAAAACAATTTAAATTTTGCCATAATCAAACTATCAAACAACACAATAAACACAATTGCATAACAGCAACCACACATCAATTTGATGGAATATTTGAAGAATTAGAAGTTAGCGTTACCGTTGGAAGCAGGCTGCGGTGTTAGAGTCGCAAGTTCCTGCGGATGCCGGATGGAGATGAGGAAGTGAACGACACGACACGGTCTCACAGGATGAGAAACTGGAGTCAGAATTGGGTGAAGGAAAGTTAGAAGTGGGTGAAGTTGAAGCGGATTGGACTCTCAACAATTTTAGTTGTTTGTGGTATTTATTATTTCTGAGACCCACCGTCCGTCCGCCCCTAGCGATTACCGTCCAGTAACCTGTTGAAGGTGTGGCTCAATTCGATTATATGGAGAGAGAACGACGATTGTAATTTGGGGTTGGGATGATAAAATTTAAAAATCAGCTATTTATTGGGCTTCAATAAGGTTTTGGGCTAGTATTGGGCTAAACTTTAGAACAAGGCTCAAGCTTTAAAAGGGGATCTTAACATAACTTCTAATTTTAAACATCACATTTCATAAATAACACTCATTAAAATATTTCAAAAATCATGTGATAAATAAAATTATTAAATATTAAAATTTATTATAATATACATTAATTATTTCCATCCATTCCACCCCATTCTATCACTTCACTACACCACCTTCCCTTTACCTCTCTACCGGAGACATACATGGGCTCTGGCGACCGCTCCAAAGGTTGTTTTGGCAATCACTCTGGCAATCATTCGACAATCACTCCGGTAGCGCTTTGAAGATTGTTCCAACGATCATTTTGATGCCCCGCTCTATCGGTAGTTCAACGATACCCTCCTGCAAACTGCTTCAATGATCATTTCGACGCTTGTAACGAACTTTATTTTCGATGTGACTAACTGTGACCAAATTTGTATCCATTGTGATTGTTTGTGACCAGGTCAATCTCCAATCAAAACTAATCACAATTAACAAAAAATTGATCACAAACAGTCACGAAAAATACATACTTGATCGTAGAGGGTCGCCACAAACAAATCTGCACACCCTACAGACATCTGATTAACTGTGACTAACTTTATTTTCAGTGTGACTAATTGTAGCCAAAATTGCATTCAGTGTGATTGTCTATGACCAGGTCAATCTCAAGTCACAACCAATCACGACCTCCAACAACAGAATCACCACAGATCATAAAATCGACGACAGTGCAAAATACCAACAACCATCCCAAAATTCTGGTTAAACAAAAGATCTGATAAAAAATCACTCGTCAATAAAAATTTGATAAAACTATGGTAGTTCCATCTCCTTCATCACCAAATCCAGCACCAAAATCAATTTTTTCTCCTCCACCACCCGTGAGCTCATCTCCACCATCCAATCACTCACAGCCACCACCACCACCTATAAGCTTACCACCACTTTCAATATTCTCGCCAACACCCGTGAAGTCACCTCCAACACCATCGAAGTGGTC